ATGCTGAGGAAAGGGCAAGAGAAGAATGATGGGAAGGGAGAGAAAAAGGGAAGAGAGTTGAAGCCCTTGGGGTAATGGAGGTGGACCAAAGAGGTGGCCGGGGCAATCCCCGAGGGAACCTGTGCTGTGGAGCAGTAACTAAGGGATCAAGGGAATGGGAGGGACAAGCAGGACGTGGAGTAAGATGTAAGGTGTTACAGATGTCAGGGTGAACCTTCAGTGCTGCTGTTGGCAGCTCGAGAGACTTTATCAAAATTTCCACAAGTGTAGATTTTCGTTTAAGCCCCAGAGTCTGGAGTCATGGGAACACGGGAGAAACTCATCAAGTTCTTGCTCCTGAAGCTGCAGAAGAGAAAACTTGAAAAGGTATTTGGAGAGTACCCTGCAGGTTCAAGAACCCAAAAACAAATCCCAAAATGTGTTTTATTGATAAATTCTCATTATTTTTATGCCAGTCTCATGGTGTGGAGCCTGGGGCGCTTAGGCAGGATTTGGAAGGTGTGATGTTGGGAAGACAAGACTAAAATCAGTGTCAGGGTTATTGGTGGGTGTTATAACAAAAGAAAAACATGAGAGAACTGTAGATTTTTCTACAAAAAGAAAAAAAAAGTGAGAGAGATGAAGAGAAGTGGAAAAAAACCCTATGATTCAGACTCAGCCACGCAGTCTAACACCGCTGTGCTACCAAATGGCAAACCTCAGTGGTGGCAACGCTCTTGCGGTATAGGCAAACACACCAGAGCTTCAGCAACCCTCCCACCACCACCCACAGGGCATCTTCTGAGACCTTCCCCGAGTCTCCCAGCTGAGCTCTTCCTTTGCAACTTTCACCAGGAAAATTTTTCCTCCCACCCTGGGCCAGCTTAGACCTTCACCACAACTTGGCCCCCTGCATTCACAGGGGTCACCACTTGAGGAGAAGTAGACTCTGCATTCCCCACACTGATGTATGGAAATGGAGATGACACAAATCTTTCCGTATAGCTGCACATGTACTACCTCCGTGGGGCTGGTAGCCATAATGCACATCGATTCATTCCATACGTCTTGCAGTAAAGAGCATCTCATTTACTGTTCATCCGTGCTTGGGCTGCTAATCCGTTCCTGTCAAAATGACCAATATTTCAGACTTCCAGGCTGCCATGTAGATGAAGAGAGAGCAAACGAGAGATGTTTGTTTCCTCCCACAAATACGCATATGCTAAAATATGGGCCAGAGAACTGCACTGCTCTGAGCTCCAGCAATACTTCATCCCAGATTGCTGTCAGATTCCAACTTTGCCATCTGGACTAGCAGAACTTATGCTATCTCACAGAAAGTAGGTAATCCAGGTTTGCAGTGAGCCGTGGTTATAACTTCCCCAACCATCGTAAATTCTTCTAAATGTTAGACTTGAAAAATCCCAGCGCTATAATTCACAGAAATGCTGTGTTAAACACAAACCGGTATTTTTTCAAAGGTTGAGTATAACTTTTCCTCACTCCAAGTCTGTGTGAGAGGGTCAAGGGGAAGGGAAATCTCAATTTGGACTTGAGGAAGCAACAATCTTGACAGTCTTACTTGATCCACCAGCCCAGGGACGATATCATGGAATCGCAGCATGGTTTGGGTTGGAAGGGACCTTCAAGACCATCTCGTTCCAGCCACCTGCCATGGGCAGGGACACTTTCCCACTACACCAGGTTGCTCAAAGCCTCATCCAGCCTGGCCTTGAACACTTCCAGGGATGGGGCAGCCACAACTTCTCTGGGCAACCTGGTCCAGTGTCTCACCACCCTCACAGTGAAGAATTTCTTCCTTGGATCTCATCAAAATCTGCCCTCTTTCAGTTTAAAGCCATTGCCCCTTGTCCTATCACTACATGCCCTTGCAAAAGGCAAAAACCAACTCATAGCTGGGTGTTTAGTAGAAATCCTTTGGGATGTGGCTTCCACCTACCTCCAAGAAGTAAAACACACACCCAGGTTCATGCCAGCATGAATTTCCTCAGGTCTCCCCATAGGAGGGACCATCAATTAACAGCAAACCGCGCTGTCATCACAGCTCTCCCCAGCTCTCTCTGGATCTTCAGGGCCTCCCTCCCTCTGCCTCTGGCATTTGCCAGAGCATCCCTTTGCTGCTGGAAAATCCCCTGGGTGCTCCTGCCTGGCACCCCAGCACCGCTGCCGGACACAGATGTGCCTGGAGATACTGCAAAAGAGTTGGTGAGGATGGCTGGAAAATGAACTTGTATTTTGACCATGTCCCCCAGGGATTCACATACTGCGTCCCTAAGCCTTTTGCCTTCTGGCATCACCTTCATTGCCTGCAGAGCAAATGCCTGGGCAGGATTTTGGGGCATTTGGGCCATGTTCAGGTCAGTGCCAGTGGTCCTGCTGTGCTGTGAGTTGGCTGTGTGTTGCCATGGGCTGGGAAGGGCAGGTGGCTCTGCCCAGGGCAGTGGGGTCTGCCCGGTGCTGCGCTCGACCTTTGGAGGCACAAATCTCTGCCCCTCCCTGTCGTGCTGGTGCTCAAGTTGCTCTGTAGCCAAAAGGAGAGTGAGGACAACCCGAGCAAGAACTGCAAGAGCAACCGAGTGTCTGGCAGCAAAGCGGCCCATGGAACTGTCTCCGAAATGGTGATGGGAACAAACCACCACTGACTTATTTTCCCAGTCCGCAGAGGCAAGTGGATGATGTCCTTCCAGCTCAGCTGGCATTCGCATCCCTCGTCACGGCCCTTATGATCCCTGCAGAAACCTGGTGTCAACCCATCTCCAAACAGATCCCCCCCTCCCATGTCTCGGCAGCGGTGCTGGGAGCAGTGACACCCCAGCAAGTCCTGGTGCCAAATCCACGCGGACCAGGCTGGGAAACAACCCTGGGGCAGAGGAGGGGACGAGCAGTGGTGCCCAAGCCCAGCAGCCACAACACCACCAGCAAGGGTGTGCACCCTGTCCCACTGCAGCCCCGTTGCCTTGGCAATGCCGGGCTCCCTTCCCACCTTTCTCTCCCAGCTTCCTGCTGCAGGAGGAAGGAATCTCCCACCAGAAACACGAGATCAATGCGAGATTTTCCAAGTCCCTTTCCAGCAGGTATTAGTTCTGCGGCTGCAATAGTGAAGGTTGTGCAACCACTAGGCGAGGGCCACGAGCTGAGCACAACGTGCCACCTGCAGCCATCGGTGCGGGGCTCTCCGGCACTAACTAAAACCGCAGCGGCGCAAATCCACGGTCACTCTTCAGGAACGTGCTCAGAAACGGCTCCACAAATTGAGTGCGAGTCACTTGGCCAACCTTTGCGAGTCACTAATCAACGTTATTTAATTACCGAAGGAAAACGCAGCAGATCTGCTGGTGGTTCCTCCTTTGGTTTTAAAGGGCGCAGTGTCACCAGCTGATGGAACAAAATGGCAGAAATGATTGCCATACACAAAGGACGCCCTGCCAGGTCACTGACAAACGATCCGTCAGTCTCAGGGAGGTTTATCCTACGTGCGGGGAAATTTTCAGGCACACAGTGGCCAGATAAATCACCCACGCTAAGGCCTTCGCTTCTTACTGGCTTTGTTTCCGCGTCCGTGTTGGAAGACCTGCCTGCTGCTCAGTGCCTGACTTCCAAGGACACTGGTGAAAGCATCCAGCCGCTGCCTCCCTGGTGTCGTCTGTAAAGCCACAACCTCACCAGCATGTTACAGCAGGGTCATCAGTCACAGATTTAGAATCACGGAATGGTTTGGGTTGGAAGGGACCTTCAAGATCATCTAGTTCCAGCCCCCCTGCCATGGGCAGGGACACCCTCCACTACACCAGGTTGCCCAAAGCCTCATCCAACCTGGCCTTGAACACTTCCAGGGATGGGCAGCTACAGAGATAGCTTTATTAAATACCTCCTCACTTGAGGTCACCATGGCAGTGCATGATGGTGGCAGCAAACCCCAAAAGAGGCTGTAGATGCAAATGATACCTTGTCCTTAACCTCTTGCATCAACTGTCTTTGGTCCCCAAGGAGCCTGGGTGTCTCCAGCCATCCAGAGTGGGCTCCAGGTCCCCCTGAGGCACAGACTGAGGCTCCCCGTGCTGCCACAGGCTTCTGGGGCACCCAAGGAGCATCCAAGGAGCATGGAAAGAACCCATTTAAGAAACCGACCAGTTACTGAAACTAGAACATTGAGTGAGAAGCCCAGTGCCAGCATAGGCAGGACGGGTGTCCTGGGTCAAGCTGGGAATTTCTGGTCCAAACCACGCTGCCCACCAGCCACACGTTCTTCTTGTCGCTTCTTGCGTAAGATGCAGGACACTGAATTTACTCTCAGCTACATACTTCAGCACGCATCCTTCCCTCTCCCCATGCCCCAGGTTCTCCTGGCTCAGATTCCTTCCCTCTCCCCATCACTCTCTCTTTCTTCCCATTAGATTTTCTTTTTTTTTTTTTTTTAATAAGCCACTTCAAGGAGTTTCACGATGCAGGACAGACTCGACTCTTTGCTTTCAAAGGCTCCAATTCTCTTTGTTCGGAGCTGGGAGGAGGGAACATCAGCAAAACTTTTTGAACCAGCGTTCCTTCAGACGCTGCGTTTGGCTGGGGGTGACCGGTGCGTTCGGCAGCGCTGCCCTTCCCGGCAGTGAGGGTGTGCCAGGGCATCGAGTCCCTGCTGGAACCACCTGGTTTGTGGTGCCTTGTGAAGAACCAGCTGCACAAAGAGATGAAGTCTCGGCAGGCGATGAGGGAGTAATGCTCCTAATAAATTGCCAGCACTAATTAACCCGTGCCATCCTGACTGTCTTTGCAGCGGCTACGACTTCGACTAC